CATAATAGGCCAATACAATGCCCATGGACTACATTGCCACATTGCCAGGGGCAACTTGAGCGCCTAGGCTAAGATCGGACAGTAAAAGAAGTCATGTGAAACATGGTGTAATGGTTGCAGCTCCTTACAAATATTGTGTACAAAAAGATAGCGGAGAGTTAATTGCCAGTTCTTCTCTTCCATTCTACGCCCTTGATTTGAGAACTGGCAGTAAATGTAAAATTAGAACCAATTTTTTTTCGATGTTCACACCGATATGAATAAATGATTTTGACTTTGATACCTAAGAGGTCGGAAACCAGTAAGCCGCCCAGGTAAGTAAGGGTTGAAAGAGTGTAGGAGGACCTGTTGCAGCTGAAAGCCAGCAGTTGGTATGGAATGGCACAAGAGAGCGCTGGGATCTATCTCGTTACGGAGGCCGCAACACACATATTAGGTCGCAGAGTCAGCGGAGTGCGTGAAACCACGGAAAAGCCAGTATTAAAGTATAAATATGCAATTAATATGAAAAATGGGTAAAATTAACGAATAATATATATTCAGTTGAACGATATCCATTCGTTGTACTACGCAGGTGTCTTTTATACGACAGCGTCGCATACTCGCGAATATTTGATGTTGTACTTTCCATACAGATAATATGAAATTATGCTTTTATATTACAAAATCTGCGATTTAATATTACTTGTTTTTGTGTTTGTTGTAATTAATTTTATAAGCCTTTTATTGTTGTTGTTCAATTTCATGAAATAAACTAATAAAGGAAGACGTGCTATGTCGTCCAAATCAACGCCCAACATATAATTGAGCCTCAAATTTAAAAAAAAATTTTTTAACGATCGTGGGAGTTTTGTCCCATACGCAGACGTTATAGGGAACAGCTATTGAGCGTATGTAATAAACAATTACATTCTAGGACGTTTAATATTGAAATCACTATAACGGAGGCATTATAACTTTATTTTAATAGGCAGGTTGGTAGAAGCTGTGTTGGCTGAGAGGTTAAAGCGTGCGACTTTCATCCCTGTGGTTCAACGACCGGCTGTGCATCAATGGATTTTCTATCTATGTACATTGTACACTGGCTCGTTCGATGAAAGAGAACATCGTGAGAACTGGCATGCCACAAATACAAAAATCCATGAGAAACTTCAGATAGAAGGCTGACCTACTTGTCTATGAAAATAATAACCAAAACAAACGCATGCTGTCTGAGGCCATATAGGGTCGTCGCTCCAATGGATTATTATTATCAAGCAAGTCGGTGATTAGCCTCGTGCCTCACGCTGTCGAAGTTACGGCTTTAGACTTCCTTCTAACTATATTTTCCTTTACATTATAAGCCAGTATTTTAAGCATAAATAGATTAAAAATCCCCTGGGGTTCAAACGACCTCACTTATGTATTTGCAACTTGACTTATTTAGCCTTAAGTTAGCTTAAATACTTTTTAAATTTGTTGTACACGCTGTTCTGTGCAATAGCTTAACTAATATTGATTTAGTGTTCTGTGCAATACCTATATTGTTTTTAAATAACGAACCTCAATAATGGAACTAGAATGGATTCTTACAGAATCTTACATCTATAGAACTGCGTTCGTTTCTGTTTTCCTTGTATCGGATGTCCATTATTTCGAACAAGCTAACCTTAAAATTTTTGCGAGCAAGTAATTCGGTCCCGACCCATTCGTGGCATTTCAGTAGCTCGAATAAAACATTTGAACATTGATATAAAGTTAATGGAATGTATTTCTATATAAAAATAACCATTCTTAAGAAACCGACACAATAACATTTGTAATATATTTCGTAAAAATAATATTTATACATTTCGTAAAAATATGTAATAAGCTTTTATACAGTTCGTCAATCCAGAGACAGTTATGCGAATGCCATAAACATTACTTGTCGATGCGTTGCGTAGAAATAAGCATTTCCTATAATTGAATTTCCTAGAATAAAAATAATTGTACAATAGCTTTTAATAATTAATCAATTATATCCCTAATCTCGAGAGCATTTTCCTTCAATTCCCAACAATATTGATAAAAGTGTATAGATCCTGATTGATTAAGTGCTTCCGGGTTATTCCGTGCTTATTGAATAACTATGATAAATCAATAACCGATTTTTATTTCATTAGATAAGGCTTTCATTATTTTAGGGATATTTATTGCTAACCGGACTACTGTCTTGATAAGGTTCTGTTTCTATGAATATTTTGTGATTAATACGTTCAATAAATAAATCTAACTTTTTGATGATGATATGCTATATGTACTCGTAATTATTTTTTATTTTTATTTATTTACACTTCGTTGCAATAAAAATAAAAGAAACACAAATAACACAATACATAAAAATTATAAGGGATGCAACGGGCGGCCTTATCGCTAATAAGCGATCTCTTCCAGGCAACCCTAGTTAAAGAGAAAAACTAAAAAAAAAACATGATGAGTGCGAGAAGTGCAGAACCAAATGTTATATATAAAAAAAAAGTTAATTATAATAATACTACTAAATATTTGACAGACCAAGAAACATCTTATTTCACTTTTATCTTAAGCCTTCACAACTAAATGGAGAAACATACGGAGAACATAGTCCCCGAAAGAAGGACCATAGTACACCAATGGATTTTTATCAATGTACGCAAATAATACTGATATTGCAGTAAAATATTACGCGATACTAGCACCTCTAAGGGGGGGGAAAGAAAAGGGGGGGGGGGGGGGGGGGGGAGGGGGGGAACAAAAAAAAAAAAAAAAAAAAAAAAAAAAACAAAACACACACACTTTTCCCAAAACAAAAAAAGAAAAAGGGGAAAAAAAAAAAAACAACACAAAAAAAAAAAAAAAAAAAAAAAAAAAAAAAAAAAAAAAAAAAAAAAAAAAAAAAAAGAGGGGGGGGAGGAAAAAAAAACCACAAAAAAAAAAAAAAAAAAAAAAAAAAAAAACCGGGGGCCACCACCCCACAACACCCCCCCAGAAAAAAATTTTCTGGGGCCCCGGGGGGCGCGCGCAGCCCCCCCCCCCCGCCCCCCGGGGGAAAGAAAGGGGGAAAAAAAAAAAAAAAATCCCCTGGCCCGGGGATAGAAAAGCGCGCGCAGTTTTTTTCCATTGAAAAAAAACCTCTAAGAGTACTATGATTTCCGAATGTCAAAACCTAATACGTATTTGATATAGATAGTCTACTCTTTGAATGCCCTAAGACCTATGGCGCTTGAAAGGCGAAGAATGATCACCTACTTGCTTTTATTGATCAAGGATACTATCGAAAACCCGCGTAGGGCCACATTTTTATTATGAATTTATGCTCGTTCCAGTATAAAGATTTTTATCCGCTGTGATTTCGCGGGCAGCCCGCTCGGTCACGTGCCGAAGTGCGGAGCGATGTAGCGCGCAACCGCCACTCCACAGTAAAAAGAACCGCCAGAATGGATTTGAATAATATATAGCAACTCTTTAATTCCCGACTCTTATTGAGAAAGGTAGGGTGTGTTTTAATGGAATCGTTTGTGATATGTGTACGATAAAATCAAATGAGAAAGTATTTATTTAGTAAATTATTTATAACATTTACAGCCAAACCAGAGTCGTGAATAATTATATCTCGTTCTATCTTTACATTTAACACTTAGGAAACTCAAAAGAAAACAATTACTTAAATTCTAAAAATTATACGGTCTATACTATAATTTATGTTATAATTAAATATTTACACTTTGATGTAAAAAGTTACTTTTTCACAATCGCTTATTTTGTCATAGTTTGACTCCAAAACCGTTCAATTTAGGTTCGGTCACGAAGCTATGGTACAAATTTTCATATAAAAATAAATGAACAAAATATGATTAGCGCTAAGGTCACGTTGAAACCTAAACTGGCTGGTTTATTCGACTTCATGGTGTGAATATGCGATGCAACTCAGTTTGGTTGTCAATATCAATAAGAGGATAAAATTGTAATTAAAGAATTATTTTAAGATTACTTGAACCATCATACAATCACCTGTTCCAACAAAATCGACAGTTGAATGTCAGATCTAAAATGAAAACCACAAATAAAATTATCATTCTTTCATTCGATGCGATTCCAATACGTTTCAGTTAATAGAAGGTCATGGTACGAAAAAATTAGATTAATTTAGGAAAATAAACCCATCAGTATCTCAACTGGTATGTTTTAACAAAGCTCATGGTATTCCCCATTGTCTATTAAAATCGAATATAGAAACAGATGCAATCTCTGACAAAGACAAAAAAACATAAAAACTATCAGTAATTTTCCATTTAGTATATTATACATATATTGTACATGCTGTAGAATCAATTGTATTATGATGATATGAACTGAAGTGGTTAAAATTATCTATAATAATTTTTGCATGTAAAAGTAGGTAAGTAGGAGCCAGGAAACATAGGTAATTTTTAACTGATTACTTTGTTATTAGTGTATCCTTTAGTAAAGGGAAAGTGTTGAAGAACTGCTTTAAGGAGTAAGACGGCCTATTTACATATTTTGTCTCCTTTTATTTTTTTTCCTGTTTTGTGTTGTTGTGATATACATACAGGGTCATTATTATGATGGTATATTAAAGTACGTATAAGAAACAACTTTGACCATTTCTCTCTCTCTCTCTCTCTCTTCAGTCGGTAGATCATGTCTGAGCGTCGTGATCAGCAAGAAAACACTGGAGCAGACAATTTGTTTCCACCGTTTTCTGTCCAGCGCGTCTTATGACAGTATAAAGTGTTTGAGGATGGTGAGTCCTTAACTTCTTTGGTGACGGTTGGTGAACGGCCACGTGGTCTTCTGCCTTCTGAGTTACCCACCACGATCAGTTTCTCCAAGTTCTCATCACCTCTGCGCATTATTAGGCCGAAATAAGATATAATGTGCTGTCAGCATATGGTAGACAGGCGTGTCCGTATGCGGAGTTGGGTCAGGATCGATGTATTGGTGCGCTTCGCAGTCCACGGTATTCTTAGCATTCGCCTCTAGCACCACATCTCAAAGGCACCCTTTGCCTTTCTTGAGCCAAGACAGTTTACGTTTCTACTCCATACAGGAAGATAGGGTATACTACAGACCGTATCAGTCAGTTTTTTGCTTTGGATACCAATTCCTCTTTTCTTCCAGATATTGCCTAAATGTACATTGCATCTTTAGCCATCCGATTCGCCTTTTTATCTCGGCAGAGCTACCGTCGTAAGAGATTGGGGATCCGAGATATATAAAGCGGTCAACGATATTGATGCCAGGAATGTTGCAAGTGACAGTGTTGTATGGAAGCTTTCTGGCTCGATCTGCTATCATCAGTTTGGTGTTTGCTCTGGTCATTGCGAGGCCTATGTTCCTACTTTCTAGCTCGAGTCTTTGGAACAGTTTTTCCATATCCTCATTGATGCTGCCACAAGAACTTTGTCGTCGGCATACCCTAAGTTTGCTATTCTCCATCACAAAATTGAAATGTAGGTAACAAATTGTATCTCAAACGCTCGCTTACCGTGTAAATTAAGTTACAATTTGTAATATAATACACACGTTGTACCTATTTCATCAAACAATTTATGGTAAAAGTTTTGAAGCACTTTAAATAAGTATAAATAAATAACTTGAATCTTAAATGAGAAAATACCTTACTTATCGACAAAAATCACTTAATTGTTGTCACAACCATGTTTTGTTATGAATAAAGTTTATTTGTCGTAGATATTATTATATGCATATGTCGTCAATGTACAATATATATTTCTAATCAAAAAATTTACTTATCTGCTGTTATTTTAAAGACCTTTAGTTAAAGATAGAATAAATATTTACATATATTTTTACTTGGCTAATTAGATTATTTTCACTATTAACATAATAATAATACATTTTAAATAAATAAATTGAACACTTAAATCAATGTAAAAAGTTTGGTACCTTTGGCAATGTACCTTTAATGTTGGCAGCATTTCATCGCGGTAAAAATATTGAGAATAACACACAATTCTTTTAAATCATTATAAAACAACGATTCCTGTACTTGATAAGTAATGTTTAATATGATTATTTGGAAATGATTAAAGCCAAAAATGGATAAACAATTACTTAAAAAGATTTTATGTTGACTAAAATCAATTACACGACTTATTTAGACAAATTTAAGACAATTTAAACATAATTATTGATATAGGAATAAAAAAAAATATCTAGAGTTAAATGATTTGGATTACAATTATTTTTTGTTGAGAGTTAAAAAATGCGGGTAGTTTAAAAATTCTACGACCGCTGTCGCTTTGGTGAAGGTCAAAACAATCGAATGGCTTATAAATTTACGCAACTGAATTTTTGATGACAAATTTAATAACTACGAGAATTTATTAATTATGCATTCATATAAATGAATGTGCCTGTTTTTATTCATTTTGGTTTAAGTGATACATGAAAAGCAGCTTTCATACGATAAATAAATACGACCTAGAAAGCCTCAAAGAACGGTAATGCACCATGGGTCTATGAGCGGCGATGACTGCCCTGTTTGCCCCCCTAAAAAAACCTTTAAACAAAAATGTTTTGTCTGTTTTATTTCTGCCATCTTTTTTTGAGTAGTCTATAGAAACAAGTAACGAAAACATTTTAGATTACTGTGATGTTCAACTCCAATAAGGGTACACCCTTCTTATATTTCTCTAGAAAATATAATAAGGGAATCATTTTCGTTTGCTGGATGCTCAAAATAATATAGTAACATCCGTTGTAACGTAAATGTTAATTAGCTGTTAAGTGATAGTAAATTACTATTATAAAAAATCATATAAATTTTATACACGATGAGCGATGTCCAAGTTATAAAAGCGCACGCGCATGTAACCTCTTTGCATTTGGTGTCGTTTGTCCCAGGGCGTAAGTAACACATTTTGACCTGTTTCTATTGAGTCTGCTGTGCTCGTCGAGTGTTTGTTTTAATTTTATTAATGTTTTTTGTATTAAACTTATTTGACGTTGAGATTTTAGAGAATTAAGATTTATATTGTCTTTTGTTTTGTAGTGAGCCAGGGCGCCTGCTGAATCGTGGCCTGCGACCGCCTGGTGAGTAAAATTTATTATTTTAATTTTGAATGTAATTTTCAAGTGTTCGAAGTAATTGTGTTTTAACTACCACCATTGTAGTTAATATTAAGTCTTGTTTGTTGGTATTTTTAAACTTAAAGTTTCACAACATACATATAAAAGCATTTAAATATTTTTTTTAATTTCATTTGTGGCGTAACTTATTGTCTCTTGTAAATTGTTTTGTTATAAAATTTACTGACACATGTTATCCTTAATTTGAAGTTTAAAGAAATTTGATTTACCGTAACAGTTTTTTTTGGTTCACATCACGTACCTACCGATTATATTTCTTTCACTTACATAATTTAGTTATCAGCCAAATGTTGTAAGTGACATTCTTATATTCGTACTTGAATCTTTTTGTACTAACATTCATACTAAGTGACGTTAACGGGATCACGTGTCACAAAATTCACCCACCTTTAACTTAAGCTATTATTAACGACATCTTAGGAGCAATTATTTTATACGTGTTTTTTGTTTCCAGGCATTGAGGAATGCCGCCGGCAGTAGGCCCGCGACCCGATGTGCGACCGCCACCGTGGGTCTACTCACGGCCGGACGATCACTTCACTGGCACCGCACCGCTGTCGTTGCTCCTCAGCGAGAAACGATCACGTAGTGCTTAGTTAGATACTTAGTTAGGACTTTGATGAACCTGTAAGTATACAAGTAGTAATGGTCCTACCTCAGTGGTAAGGCAGGCGTTACGTTACGTTATTCAATTGTTTAAAAAAATCTAGCTAATGGTTTGACTCAACAGTGGTTAATAATTGTCCCCTCCAAATTGGCTTTGGAATATGGCGCCTTTTTTATTATTGATTTTTTATTTCTTATTTTTTTATTTGATTTCTTTTTTATTTTGTGTGTATTCAATTCAATTCAATTCAAAAATCATTTATTCACGTAGGTAACACAATGTACACTTGTGATTCGTCATTAAAGAAATAAATATTAATGCTTCTAATTTTACATTTACTGCCAGTTCTCAAATCAAGGGCGTAGAACGGAAGAGAAGAACTGGCAATAAACTCTCCGCCACTCTTTTTAATCGCCATGTTTTTTTTTTACAACGTTTGTAAGGAGCTGCAACCATTACACCATGTTCCACATGACATTTTAAGTAATTAATAATAATAAAATAAATTAAAAACAAAGATTTGTCCTCTATCAGCAGGAGGCATGGTGAAATAGGAGCACGCACTTACATTCTCGTGGGAACAACACGCAAACACATAGTCGAAATAAATATACACACATGTGTAATAATTGTAAAGTATATAAAGTAATATTTATAAAAGAAATAGTAATATTGTAAATTATTTGACTCGGTTGCTAAGATGAGTATGTTAGGAACATATCCATTGCCGCCTATATTTTAGTTTAAACTTTTTGGTTTTATGAGTTTTTGTATTTTTCAGGTAACAATATTAAGAGGCGCAACCCGACTTAGGACCTGGAAAATATCACTATAAACTATATACACTTTCGCGATAATAGATTAGGACATTTCTATAAATGTAGAGATACTTTTTTTTATTACTTGTTAAACTATCAAACGTATTCTGATGTAAGTTTAAGAAACATTTAGATTTAGTATAAAATTAATATATTTTAGTTGTGTGCTGTATTTGTTTCATTCAATTTCTGATCGTCTCTTTAATGATAATGTAAAGCACTTTGGGTCGGCTTGTTTCGACAAAGCTGTGTACCGTCACCTACAATCTGCGCTTACAAATCACTGCGTTGACGTCTACCCTGAAACGTGCTAGGCCGCCAGGGATATTATATACAACTACTCGTTCTTAGCCACTGGGGCCTTCAAGTCAAGCCAAGTCAAAAATCATTTATTCATGTAGGTAACACAATGTACACTTATGAACGTCAAAAAAGAAATATACATTAAATGCTTCTAATTTTACATTTAATGCCAGTTCTCAAATCAAGGGCGTAGAACGGAAGAGAAGAACTGGCAATAAACTCTCCGCCACTCTTTTTAAGTTTTTTTGTTTTACACAACGTTTGTAAGGAGCTGCAACCATTCCACCATGTTCCACATGATATCTTAAGAAATAAATAATAATAAAATAAATTAAAAACAAAGATTTGTCCTCTATCAGCAGGAGGCATGGTGAAATAGGAGCACGCACTTACATTCTCGTGGGAACAACACGCAAAGACATAGTCGAAACAACTAACATCACCGCATACACGAATTCTAGTACGACCAGTCACCACAAGTAGCACCCGTTTACGAGTATGACGCATGGCCAGCCATCGGCCACTTCGAGACAGTAAGGAGTTAGACTACTCAAGGATTCCTTAAGGTTGGAGGAAGCGCATAATATTCGTCCTCTACACATAATTACTAAATAATATAAAATAATAATATACACTTATAATAAAAAATAATAATATACACTTTTGCCCCGCACCATCAGTATGTGAAAACAACTCTTCGATGTTATCTCTTATATACCAAAGTTATTTTATTAAACCAAATAAACAGCGAAGTTCAAATGTAATTAAAAATACTACTCTGACTTCGCTCAATGGAGCGTCGAGGTTGACTATTTTCTTTTTAACAGTTCTATGTATAGTTTGCTTTATTAAGGTTTTATAAAATTGTTTGTGAATTTGATCTCTCGTAAAAAGTATTTGAAAAAAATATTCTGTTCAAAAAGTTAATAACACGTTATTATTGTTTTAAAATATATTAAATCATAATTTTTCTGTAGTTGTAACATATTTAAGGGATGGGTTTCGTCAAAGCAATACCTTGACTCCACCCTCCAAGTGGGTCTTTATTTTTTTAAATATTTAATAATGAATAATAAATATTTAGCGTTAATAATTTAACAATAATTAATATTTAGTATATTATTCAATTATTATTTAATATTAATAATAATAATTATTTATTATTTTATTATATCAGTAATTCAATTTAATAACTAGGTATGTTTCATAACCTTTTAACTAAGTAACAATAGGTCTTTGTGAAAAAGCATTGCTAAATTTCTTTGAAAAAATAATTAAAACTTTATTTGTTTAAAAGGTACTACAAATGTCATTATGGTCATTCAAAATTCTTGGCATAGCTGCTGACGTCACGCATATTCTATTTCTTTTTACTTGTAGATTGTCTTATTCCCATCTCGCTGGCGCACGCTCGGCGCCCATACTGATAATTTTGTGTCACGGTGCGCGCGCATCGTAAAATTTCACTCTCATCAATTTTTCATAACGCGCCTAAAGAAGTTTAACTTCAAAAAGTTATCTATGTTTCGCGTTTCTTATGTTTTACCATTTTGATTGTGAACGAATATTCCTTCATTATCCAATAATTTCAAGTA